GCGACGCTCGCACCCGCGCTTCTATCGCTCCAGCCCCTTCGGAACCGTGACTTGACGCTGTGTACCCCAAGAGCTGGTTTACCCGCTAATGACTTCACACTCTGGCTCATCGTGCTGTGGCTGACCTGCAAAGAACTCCTCTTCCACTGCAAGCGGCCCCTGTGCTGCTGCTGGCGTGCTGTGCTTCGCGGGAGGATCGCCTGCGGCCGGCCGGGGGTAACGGAAGGTGAGGTTAATGTCAGAAACGCAGAAGAATAGAATCATAGAATGGTTTGGGCAGGAAGGGACCTTACAGACCATCCAGTTCCAACCCCCTGCCATGGGCAGGGACCCCTTCCACTAGACCAGGTTGCTCAAAGCCTCATCCAGCCTGGCCTTGGACACTTCCAGGGATGGGGCATCCACAGCTTCTCTGGGCAACCTGTGCCAGTGCCTCCCCACCCTCTCTGTGAAGAATTTCTTCCTGACATCTAATCTAAACCTCCCTGATTTCAATTTATACCCATTACCCCTTGTCCTATCACTACAGGCTCTTGTAAAAAGTCCTCTCCCAGCACCCTTGTAGGCCCCCTTCAGATACTGAAGAACGCTCTCGCTCCTCCACAGAGGGTGAAGTGGCGAGCAGGAGCTGCCCCCAGGTCCCCTCCGTGTCCCTGGGGCTAGTTACACTTTGGTAGCGGCACGTGGAACGGCAACGTTCCGTACCTGGCGACAACTGGAGTGGCTGCACCGCTTCAAAACGGGTTTGGGCCTGTGTAGCCCATCCCCAAGCTCCTGCTTGCCACGCAGCTGCCCGGACTTCCCCGCGAGTAAAGAGCAAGGTAGCAAATGCCACCACCACAGGGAAGAGCTGCGGCCTCTGCTCACGCGCAGCACGTCAGCGGCCAAGAGCTGCGGTGCTGCGGGAAGCTCTAGGGTGGGAAGTGGCAGTTCTAGAGCTGACAATCCTGCAACTTCCAAGAACGCTGGGAGGGGAAAAGTCTGATACTCCTCCTCCCCCCTGGTCCCAAGGGTGTGTCGCTAGCACAGTACCGAAGCGAAGTGGGCTCCTGTACCGGGGTGACGCCTGCCTGGCAGCAGCTGGCATTAAGCGGGTCGATTTGCTGCCCAGTCTTACCCTGGTCACTGCTGGGTGCGACTGCCGGAGCCCGCTGCTTCTTCTCCATCTGTTCCGGAACTGCTGCTGTAGCTGCTTTTGCCGCAGCTTCCGCTGGTAAGTGGCATCGCGCTCCGCAGCCAGGGAGTCCGTGCTTCTGCCCCCCCCAAGCCAGCACAAAGTTAAACGGGCGTTCAGACATTTTTTGAAGACAAAAAGATGCATAAAGGGCTGACAGCAAGGAAAACCCGCTAAACCGGCATTGGAGGGCCCCTT